TTGTTCTGAAAGAAAGAGGGTACATCTTTCTTATTGGTTTCTCGTGGCATTCCCTAGGACTGGGAGTGTTTGTTTATCATTGTGGTGATTGGGAGTGAGATGGTTATTTTTCATATTTAGGAGTTCCCAGGTAGAAGTTGCACTGGGTAGGGATTAAGTGAGGGGTTGTAAACAGGAGAGTTTAACTCTCAATTAATACTACTAATAGTGAATTTCCTTCCTGGCTTGGTAGCCCCTAGACGTAGGTGATGTTGTACACCAAACTAGGTTAATAATTCTTTGTGTTATTTATCTTCCTGCATTTAAAATTCTGCTCAATTTAAATGGTTGGATAAATTGTTCTGTTAGTCTACAGATGTTACAACATCTGTCATGACATTGTAACATGATGGTGGAACATCAGATTCCACATCATGTATTGCATGTGCCAGAAAATTTCACTATCCTGAGTGTTTGACATTACCTTTAGGGTTCACTGTCTAAACACTCACCTTCCAAAGTAAAATACTTCCTAAATAAAACGAGTAAGATTCTCCTTGTATTGAACTAAAAAGAGAGGACTGAGTGAAGATTTCTTCTTCTCCGACAATTGTGATGCTCACTTTAGAGTGTGTGGTGTTGATACTCGTCTTTCAATATGAAGACGTGCATATACTCACCACACATTTTTTCCAAACAAATCTTTTGAGATCAAGAATTGGGTACTACCCGCAAGGGTTCATATCTGAGGACTTATTTCTCCCCTAAAATCAAACTCAATTCGTCAAATTAACTTTTCGCCTTAGGGCATTCCAAAAATCTCTTCAAAAAGGACATGTTACTTCCGTTCTACCGCAATAGAAACAAATGCTTAAGCATCCCATGCGCGAGCATACAAACAACGTTTAACTGCTAGAACGCGAACGTTGACACCGTTCAATAAAATTAATTAACCAACACACACATTAGTTCAACGAACTATGGAGCTCTGATTTCCTCTTAGCACTATGAGAGTACGTAGGCATAAGATTGCGAGATCTTGGCGAACAACCTTCTTTCTTTTCCCCTAGTTCAATGAACTACGGAGCTCGATTTCCTCATTGCACCATGAGGGTATGTAGGCACTAGGGATGGCAAAAATATTTGTACCCGCGGATAAAATCTGTCATGGATATGAGGCAAATAGCTTAATAGATATTTAAATATTTATTTGTTAATGGATATGGATATGGGTTTAATGATATTCGTGCTCGCGGATATCCATATCTGTTAATAAATTATAAAAATCATTTAAATATCATTAGTTTATTATACCTTATCTTTTCATCTTCTAAAATAAATAGTCTTATTATATTTCATTTGTTTTTAATTTTCTTTGAAGAAAACCTTTCACATTTCATTCAAATTCTATTAGCCATTTCATATTTAAACCCTTTAATACTTCATAATCCACTTCAACAATTTCACAATACAATCAACTAGTGTTGTCATTCCTCAGTCGAACTAGTGTCTCCTTGCCCACTCCTATGTTGTTCTCTCTTCTATTATAACTCACAATCAAAATATATTTATTTTTTTGGTTAAAAATAAAATGTGTGAATTTTATGCTGGATCTAATTATATATTGGTGAATAAGAATAAAATTAATGTGATGAAATTTTATTGTTAAATTAAGAGCGAGTTGTATGGATGTTATGTGATAATAACTTTTTGTGTCTTTAAAAGAAGTTAAAAATATTTTTTTTATAAATATTATCCATGGATATCTGTAAATATCCATGTATATCATAAAACACGCGGATTACCCGCTTAACGAATATCCGCATGGATATGGGGAAGATACGAATATCATATTTATCCAACGGGACGGATACAAATATCATAGTTCCATCCCCATGGAAATCCGTTTACATCCATAGTAAGCACAAGATTGCGAGATCTTGGCGAGCAACCTTCTTTCACAACCTTCTTTATTTTCCCCTAGTTCTCCAAACTGCGAAGCTCTAACTTCCTCATTGCACTATGAGGGTACGTAGGCACGAGGACCCCAATCCTCCGTGATCACACTAATTTAAAACCTTTTTCTCTTTAGTAAAGCATTTGTAGAAAACATGATACCTTAGCCGCATCCTCATACATAAGAAGAACTAACGGTTCCCATCGAGTACGATAGGTGTGAGGGGTGCTAATACCTTCACGTTGCATAACTGGCTTCCAAACCCATCTGTTGGTTGCAAGACCATCTTATCCTTCCTTTTAGGGGTTTCTCGATGTTTTCCCTTCTCTTTGGGATAAATAAAGTTCGATGGCGACTCTGTGATTTTCTGCATATCGATAATAATCATGGTCCAATAACGTCTACAACATAATAAATCACAATCCAATAACAAGTGTAGCTTAATAACACATGAACTAGATAAAAAATCGACAAATATAATAGGTTGTTCAACCTAACGCGTTAGTATGACGCCAAACTAGTGACATAAGGTAAAAATGCCCTATCTTCAACTATAAACCCAAGAAAGGTTCTGAAACACTAGGAACAAGCATCGACATATCATAAGAAAACACTTGATTTAAAAAAATGATTGATGGATTTAGGATAAAATAAATTATACACTAACACCTGTCTATTTGGACAATGATTTTACAATGGAAGATTCCATGGCTTCATAAACCCTAAAAAAATATTATAAAGGAGTAATAAAACGTCAAATCAAAGTACACATTTTTTTACATAAAATACCTCATGCATTAGATAAAAAGTTTCTTGGATGTCAGAGTGCTTGCAGGTACCACACTCTCATAAGAGACAACTATGAGCAACAATAAGAATTGTTTATATATGTACTTGAAATGTACACTAATTGTAGCTTCATTGACAACGTAATTAGCAAAGCCCCACTCATTGATCATTTGTGAATCTCCTTCTTGTTCTTTCTTTATGTGTATACATACAAGCATCAATAGATTGTGTGATTATGGCTACTTTGTGGTTATTAACGACCTCGTCCCCTTGTTTAAATGAGATCAGCGTGCCAACAATGTCATTTATCATCTTGTCTAGATGCTTAAAGTCTGTAAATCCTTATATGACCTAGTGCTAAGTCAACGAAACTGATCATAATCGCCCAACCAACTAATGTCGAGTTGGACAAATAATAAAAGGAGGCCGCCCATTCAATTGTAGTGCCGAACTCTTCCAACCACAATTAGGTGGATCCGAGCTTGTCCGTCCCTTTTGGAGTAATTTTTAGGGTTATGGTGAATCCTAACTTAGAAAGTTGAAGTTAAATAGACTTGTGTCATTAAAGATATATCAATACATAGTCCTTAAACACGAAATATGCAAAAGCAAAATACTTTAGTATAAATTTAAACATTACACATTCCTCAGCGCATAAGCCACACATGAACACAATGAATTAGTAGAAATCTTCGACATTACAATATTTGACCATTTGATAACTATAGGTGAACGAATGTTAAACAAACATTTTATTTTTGAATCTTACATATTTTAAAGAGAAAATATAATATGTATTGACAATTTAATTTAACCAATCATCTTTGTATATTATCTAAAATCAGATAATAAGTTTTAAATAAATGACATAACATAATTTACTGAATAAAATCTATTGGAGGCGACACTTTACATTAGAATCTGTTTGGTAAGACAAAAAAAAGAGCTTTTAACTTTTAACTTTTAGCTTTTCAGTTCATTTTAATTAAAAAGTTATGTTTGATTAGTGTCTTTTAACTTATAACTTTTTAACTAGTTTTTACCTTTTTTCTCAAAAGCTATTTGAAGTAGCTTTTGAGCTTGTAGCTATTAGCTTATGACTTTTTATTTCAATTATATCCTTATTATATATATATATATATATATATATATATATATATATATATATATATATATATATATATATATATATATATATATATATATATATATATATATATATATATATATATATATATATATATATATATATATATATATATATATATATATATATATATATATATATATATATATATATATATATATATATATATATATATATATATATATATATATATATATATATATATATATATAAATTGATTTTAAAAGATTAAATTTATAGAGATTTTGAAGAATGCTATAAAAGATTTTTACTATTTTTCTCTAATTTATTAGACATTATTTTTATTTATTAAATATAAATTATATAATTAATTTAGAAATAGTGCTGATAATTCTCAAATTAGTGAAACATCAAAGGAGAATCAATGAAATTAACAAAGGTGAAGAAAATTAAGAGTTTTATTGTAAAATATTAGATAATAAACTTATTTTTGTTATTATTTTAGATTAATATAACTAAATTCAAAATTACAATATTATTATTTCTCGTATTTTATTAAATTTTATTATAAAATTAAAAAAATATATTTTACAAAATAACGAGTTCCCAGACAAATAATTATAGTTATTAAAATTACTTTTATTTTTATGTTCTCATAAATGACTTTATAAAATACCTCTACTTCATGTATAATTTGCTAATTCTTTTATTCATTAATTTCGTTGTCAATATATTCATAATAAATAGCAAAACTCATAAAATTTATATACAAATTTATATATTTTGATAATATCTTTAATTTTTTTTATATATTAAAATTGTTTTGTATGTTATTATTAATACATTTATTTTTATTAGATAAAAATTAATTTAATAATAAAATATAATAAAATAAGTAAAGTTATGAATGTCATCAACTATAAATTATAAATTATAAGTAGATCATTATATATAAGCTATATGCTAATAGTAAATTGAGCCTTAAACAACTCTCTACTTAAAACCAAAAATTGAGTACAATTATAAAGATTGAGACATATTGGCTCCCACGTCCCTGCTATAATACGTTGTCGCATTCTTTAGAAGAAAAAGCCCAATCTGTCACATCGTTTCTTCTCCTTTCAATCTTCAACCTCTCCCCTTCTTTTTCTGTCACTGAGCTACCAAATGGAAGACTTCTGGAAAAGAGCGAAGACATTCGCCGAAGAAGCGGCGAAGCAATCGCAAACTCTAACTACTTCCTCCGCCACCGCTAGAATCGCCGATCTCGTCTCCGAAACCACCAAGAAATCGAAAGAACTCGCTGCCGAGGCTTCTAAGAAAGCAGAAGAAATCAAAACCGCTGCTCTCCGTCAGGCTGATCAGATCAAGTCCTTCTCGGATACCATTTCCATTCCTCCTCAAATCTCCGCAATTGCCGCCGCCGCGGCAACGGCAACCGCAAATGCCACTTCTACCGCACTGCCTTCTGCTCATCAGGAACAAGACCTCGAGAGATTCGGCGTCACCGATGATCTCAGATCCTTTGTCCAGGGCCTCACTTCCACAACCTTCAAACATTTTCCTGTCAATTCCGGTAATTTATGATCCATTGCCGGTTTTCAATTTTTCATGTTTTGCAATTTTATTTAATTGTTACCATAAATCAACCTTTTTGTTGTAAATTTTGTTGATTAAATGATTTGTTTTATTTGTCCTGATTGATTGAGTGTGCAATTTGGAATGCAGATGAATCTGAATCTGAGGCTTCTGATGTGCCGACTTCGGCTTCTAATGTTCGGAAGGATCTCAATGAGTTTCAGGAGAAGCATGCCAATCTTGTTTTAACTACTGTTAAGGTGAATTTCATGTTTTTTAAAATTTATTTTTGTGAAATTCTTGAATCTGTGTGTTTTATATGTAATGTGATTATTAATGCATTTCACTTCATATGTAGTAATGTGCATAAGGCATGTGAACCCTCCTCTGTATGGTGAGTTCTTTGATTTATAGGGTTTAACTTTCTATTTCCATAGTGCAACTCACTTCAGATCAGTGTTGTCAAATGTTGGCCTTGGCGGATTGCAATGGCAGATTTTTTTACTACTGCCGTGGATGATGGCACCACAGCGATTTATAGCAGCTTAAAATGGCAGAACTTCTTTTTGTTTTCCACCATGGTACACCAGTGTCATCAATATCACTGCTGCTGATCCACAGGCAACTGCTTGTAGAGGCGGAGTTCCTATTTCCTCCATTTTGAGAGCAACGGTGCTGTTTGTTCTTGGTAGAAAATATTTCCCAGTGACGAAAATTTTAGTAATCTGAAGGGAGGAGTATGGGTTTACATGATTTGAAATCAAAGTGCTGGCTCCCTTCTTTATAGAAAAATTAAAAGTCAAGGAACCCGTTTTGATTTTCATGCCATGCCCTCTCCTTAGTTGATACTTGGCATTCTGAGGGATCTTTCTCCATTGTTTTTGTTTCGCACCATTTTCCATCTACTAAATCACTTCAATATATTTATTCTAATAATTTTACTCCCCTTCCCCTCCCCTTCTGTTGGTTTTAGCTTGTCATCATCCAAGATAGTAGCATTAGAAAATGGAAAGTGACAGCAAGAAAACTGAGCTTGACCATTGTGAGTTCATGAGGATCCAGCCTCTGGCTCTGATTTCTCAGAAGTTGCCTCCGTGATTATATGCTAATAGGTGATTAGAGCAGAAGTATGAGAATAGTGAGTGAAAAATAGTAACGTGCATCGGGAGCAATAGAAGTAGAGACTGAGGATTCCTGTTGTGAAGGGAGCGACGGAGGATTAGGAGATGAGAGGAGGGGTGGTGTCTCAGGGTGCAGGGAGAGGGAATAATATATGTATTTAAAACTTAAAAAAAAAAAAAAAAGAAGAAAGTAGAAGAGCCCTGGTCTATGGTGGACCACATGCTGGTCCATCGTTACATTTTTTTGCGTTATAATGCATTCCACTTCCCATATAATGATGCCCTGTCTTTTGTGTGCATACTTCCATGTCCTTTTTTTTTTTCATTCTTTAATCTATTTGTTGGCGATGTTGGTATTATATTAATGTGTCGATTGAAGTATAATAAAGACATGCATGCATTTGAAAATTCAAGATGTATTTGTAAAACTGTTTACCTATTCGATTTTTTATTCCTTTACAGGAAATTTCAAGGTTGAGATATGAACTATGCCCACGTGCTATGAAGGAAAGACACTTTTGGAGGATATATTTCACACTTGTCAACACTCATGTGGCTCCGTAAGTAGCATACATTTTAACAGGTCATATGATATGTTATATTTTTTAATGTTGGTTAAGAATTTAAGAAATCTACTTTATGAAATTATTTTTTGCTTAAACTCCATTTGTCTGGTTTCTTTATCTTTTATGGAATAAAGTATTATGCAAACAGACTGTATTGTCAATAGAGGCCTGTAGTAGTGGGTGGCCGCCCTCACATGTGGTGTTGCATCTCAGAGTGGAGTGTAGAGGCATCGGAGCTGGTTTGCGGACAGATTCCACATCTCAGTTACCTTACTTGGTGGCGATATTCCAACACTAGGTTGTGAAGAAGAAAACGGCACATGCCAAGAATAAAAACGGAAGGTGAGGATGAAAAGATGCATGTGAACAGTAGAGGAAGAAGTGAAATTCAGACTTTCTCACTGTTTTAGGAGTGAAGAACTAGAGTAGTAAAGGAAGAAGCAAGAGGTGGCATGGCACTTATGTTGCCATAGTTGCTGTTGTTGCATAACAATTTTACCGTTATCTCACTTAATGGGCTTGTTCTTTTTTAATCACGGGCCTCTAATTTTTAAATGAACAATACTAATAACAAAATAAGTGAAAGAACATGAGGCAGCCTAGTTAACCATAGGCCTCCTAAGACTTAATAATGTGTTTGTTTCAAGGATTTAAAATCACAATCTTGGGAATATTATTCTTTGGAAAAGTGTTAATAGGAATCTTATTCCTATTAATATTTTTGGTAAACATTAATTTCTCGGGAAGACTTTTAATTATTTAATTTGAAAATTTGATAATAGAAAATAAATGTGTTAAAATGATGTGGGAGAGTGGGAAGCTATGGTTGGTTATCTTTTATTCCAATGGCAATGTAAGTTTCCCACTTTTTGCCATGAGAATGAAAAATGGGAAAAGTATGTGTAAATCATTCCAAGAAATAAACAGTACCTAGATTAAAACTTGAAACAAACATTGGAATTGAAAAAAATTCCTAAATCACATTCTTGAGAATATGTTTTCGTAAAAAATAGTATATTATTTTCGTGTATATGTATGTATACATAGTATTAATTATTTATTATAGAGTATGACTTGAAACAACTACTATCTCGTCACACGCCATCTCAGTTTTGGGGTAGCCCGCTCAGCCATCCAATATTTACAACTATGTAGACAGTGGAGAGGCTAGGTTGTGTTTTATATTTGGGTTTGCTTAATAATTCTTTTTACACACGTACCTCTTCAAAAGTTTATTCAAAAAGGGTTTTGTATCATCATTTGAAAAGTACCATCTGACTTTAATAGGCTAAGTTGATTATTCTGACCAATGTCTAGATTTGCTGACTTGTATATTTGAAGACTCTAGAATTTCTTTTAGGAAGAAAACAACGATTTCTGTTTTCAAATCTGGTTATACAAGTATTTGACAAAGATCCTAGTGTAGACATTCTATAGAGATAACTTAATAAGGCTCCTTCCCGCAATGCAAATAAATTAAATTTAGTTAAATTAATCAGTTACCCAATCAGTATCTGCTCCCACTCAGACTGATATCCTCTGCCAGCACTGCCTCCCGTGGAGGTGTATGATTACAATATTCAATTTCTAAACCTGTCTCTGGTGGCCCATACTAGGTTGCTGAGCTCTTGGTTGTTAAGAGTTTGAGATTTGGTAGAACAATGAGGGTGGGGGGCCTCCCTCTTTGTTAGTCTGGTTGCCACAGTCTTGTGGTGAAAGTTGTCTCATGGAGCAAAAGTCTCATGCATGATAACAATATTCAATTTCTAAACCTGTCTCTGGAATCTCATATTAGGTTGCTGAGCTCTTGGTTGTTGAGACTGTCTGATTTGGTGGAACTGTGAGGGTGGGGCCCTCACTCTTTGTTAGTCCGGTTGCCACAGTTTGGTGGTGAAAGTTGTCTCATGGAGCAAAAGTCTCAAATGGTGATGACTTTGCAGTGTTCGATGATAGGTCCGATGACGATACAGTATATGAGGGTTGCTGTGACCAAATTCATTGCGATTGGTTTTCCTGTGCATGTGTTGTCCCCATGGGTAGATGTGGCGAGTACAGTGTTAATGATTGGTGGCAGCTATTTGAAGGAATGGAGGCTGGAGGCTGAGATGTTCATGGTGGTGAAGGGGTGAAGAATGTTGGTAAAGATTAAAGTTCTATTTTCTCCTTTTTTTTAAACGCTTTTGGAGAGTTGGGACCATGGTTGTCAAAATTGGGATCTCGATAGCGATCGTTAGGATATGGGAAAAGTGTAAATCGAAGGATTGTAACTCGGATCATAAAATCCCAACAAATAGGAATCATAAAAATAAGAAAAATAACCTGAACATAAAATTCTCATTAACTTGATCATAATAGCAAATGTTCAATCCAAAAAAACATAATTTTCTCAAACATAATATTCATAACGGTAAATATTCATGTTAAGAAACGTGGTTGGGCCTAACTCAACCCTACAAAACCGGCTGGTAGAGTGAGGATTACTCCCACTTATAAACACATGTTCATGCCATATATTGTCCGATGTGGGTCTCTTAACACACCCCCTCACGCTCAGGACTGGACAACTGATGTGTTGAAATAAATGGTGGATGGCTCGATAGCGGAAACCATAGAAGGTGGCCCACCGGATCTTAAACGAGGCTCTGATACCATGTTAAGAAACGTGGTTGGGCCTAACTCAACCCTACAAAACCGGCTGGTAGAGTGAGGATTACCCCCACTTATAAACACATGTTCATGTCATATATTGTCCGATGTGGGTCTTTTAACAATTCAATTAAAAAAAACAACTGGAATTGATAAAGACATGGTGAAATTTTTTTGAAAAGGTCTATTTTGTAAGGAAGAGGTATTGGAGTGCAATGATAGAAAAGATGAGGATAATTGAAGGATTTGATTTGAATTTATAGAAGAAATAAATGAAGAGAAGAAATCCATCCATGAATGATTAATCGTTTCAGAATTCATTCTCTGAGTTCCAATGTTTTTTGTGACTGCACTGCTTTCACGATAATTATTTCTGCCGTTCTCAAAAGCATATTTAAAATATTCAAACTCCCATAACCCTAAAACATGTGAGCGCTGTGTGAGCAATATATAAAACCAGTTGATGTTTATGTTTCGTCTCACTTCGATGTTATCAAACATATGTTGTCTAAATCTATTTTGCATAGTCGAATAGGTAAGTGGGCACTAGCGTTAACTGAATATTCTTTAAAGGACAAGTGGTAGCAAACTTTATTGTCGACCACTCCATAAATGAAAGCGCTTCAAACTACGCCGAACTAGAACCTTGGAAGCTATACTTTGAGAGCTCCAGCCATAAAGATGGGACCAACATTGGCGTGCTAATTATTTCGCCTGAAAGAATTCCAACAAAATTCAAGTATAAAGTCGAAGGGCTTTGCTCCAACAATGAGGCTGAATACGAGGCTTTGATAGCAGGAATAGAAATTTTGTTAGAATTGGGGGCAACCCGAGTCGAAATAATGGGAAATTCAGAGTTGGTTATAAAGCAAATTACAAAGGAATACAAATGTGTTAAAGAAAATCTTATCATGTATTTTGTAATAGCCAACAGACTACTAAAAAAATTTGAAATGACAAGCATTCGACATATACCTCGATTAAAGAATCAAGTAGCAAATGATTTGACACAAATTGCTTCTGGGTATAAGGTTTCGAAGGAAAACTTACAAGAAACAATCAAAGCTAGGGGTAAAGTTGTGTCTGTTGGATTACGTCCATCAGATCTAAAAGTAATGAAGTTTGGGTACGTTGACGAAGAGAGCTTTGGGATTTTTGCAGTGGATAGTTTGACGGATAAAGACGGGAGGAAGCCTTTGGTCGAGTACTTACGTAATCTCATCAGCGTCTACAGAGCGAAAGGTTAAGTATCAAGCTCTAAGTTACGTTCTTCTAGAAAACGAGTTGTTTAAAAAGACCCCTGAGGGGGTCTTACTTAAAAGCCTTAGCGAATCTGAGGCATATCTGGCCCTTTCGACGGTCCATAGTGGGGCATGTGGGACACATCAGGTAGGCCATAAGATGAAATGACTATTATTTCGTCAAAGAGTGTATTGACCTACCATGTTAAAAGATTGCATTGAATTCGCCAAGGGCTGCCAGGAATGTCAGGTCCACGCTGGCATACAGCATGTCCCAGCAAGTGAGTTACACTCTATAGTCAAACCATGGCCTTTTAGAGGGTGGACTTTGGACTTGATTGGAGAGATTCAACCAGCATCCTCCAAAAATCAGAAGTATATCCTGGTAGGAATTGACTACTTTACGAAGTGGATCGAAGCGGTACCTCTACCAAAGGTGGATCAAGAGGACGTTATTGAGTTCATTCAAAAGTATATCATTTACAGGTTTGGAATACCAGAAACAATTACGACAGATCAAGAGTCAGTGTTTACTGGTTGAAAGATGCAGGAGTGGTGATTGGGTTGATAAAAAAGCATGTGGGAAAGAAGCCTAAAAATTGGCATAAGACGTTAGACCAGATCCTTTGGGCATGTCGAACCTCTCCCAAAGAAGCCACCAATAACACACTCCATTTCGATTGACTTTTGGCCATGATGCAGTATTACCTGTTGAGATCTACCTTCAGTCAATTAGGATTCAGAGACATCATGAAATTCCTCGCGAGACTTATTGGAATATGATGTTAGACGAGTTGGTGGATTTAGATGAGGAAAGACTTAAAGCTCGGGAACTTTTGAAAAAGCAAAAGAAGAGGGTAGAAAAATCGTACAATAAAAAGGTTACAGGTTAAGACCTTTTTGCCTGGAGACATAGTTTGGAGGGTAATTTTGCCTATGGATCGAAAGGTCAAAGCCTTGGGCAAATGGTCCCCAAAGTGGGAAGGCGTTCCAAAGTACGCAAGTGTTCTTCAATGGAGCTTATGAAGTCGAAGAATTAAACGAAGATAAGAGAATTTTGAAAGTAAATAGCAAGTATTTGAAAAAATACAAACCAACGTTTCAAGA